TGTCTATCATGCGGCCCAAGTTTGAGCCTACTTCTAGAGGAGTTCCTCTTAAAGATGTGGCTAAGTTTCTCATTCCATCATGCAGAGCCTGCATCATGAGCTGTTGTCTTTCCTTTTCCCTATGTCTAATATTTCTAAGGATATAGCAAAAAACTTCTGATTTTCCTCTAGCTGTTTATCTATTCGGTCTTGAATTCCTCGTAGTACTTTTACTACTAGACTGTTAGATATGATCAGCAGGTTTGCCTATCCACCTCCTAGCTTTGACCCAAGGCTCATGCTGCTGCTATCTATCAACATCGGCACTATGTACTCATGATATTTAGTAGTCTCAACTTCAGGCATTAATGGTTTTGACCCTGCAAGTACAAAGTTCTCTTTTGGTTCATAAGAACCAGCAACTGTTTCATCAATCCTTTTGTCCTTGCCATCTTTTTTACACAGGTCCTACTGAGTGTGCCAAAAATATTTTGTTTTGGAACAACAAATTACCAAACATGCCAAAAACACTGAGTCTCAATTAATAACAAAAAGGTCCCCGAGCTCCATTATCACAATTTACCCAGATATAAAAGATACACAAGACTTGGTAGAATAAGTACTTTGATTATTATTAAATGTAAAACGATTACAAAGCTAATTGAAGATAAAGCTAATTGATAATCCTAAGAACTACGGGTGCAAAATGCAAGTCTTTTGAGTGTTGACCCTCTTTTTCCTGCATACTTTATTTATAGTGATAGAGTGATGGAAACTTCTCCCTTAGAACCTAGAATGTTTTTCCAAAGAATCAGAGATCTCGTGAAACTCATGGCATGATCTTTACTCACTATTTTCATTTTTGGTAACCAACCCGTCTTGCCGAGATACTTGGGCATGATGATATTGTTCCCATGAGATTCAGGATCATTTGAGATCGTGTCTTTATGCACCAATGATCTACCGAGTGGTTTGCAACTGGTGGGATTTCAACATGCTCATCTGGTTGTGGCTTTCCATTGAGCTTAGGGCTGGACTCTCTATTCAGATGGTTGATTGAGCTTGACTTTTTAGTCACTTAGCCCATATGGCTTTATGACCTACCCAATATTTTGATAAACAATATTTTATATTTAGCCCAAACATTACAATTCTAGCACCCCAAATAATTTCAGAGAAGTCACCCTACTAATACAGTGCTATAGAGAGAGAGAGAGAGAGAGAGAGTATCCTGATTCCTGATAAGATCTTTTGTTTTGTCTTCGGCTGTTACCTCAGGCCAGTGCGGTAGAGGACAACCATAGGATTCAGGATTTGCCCAGAGGTTTTTAACCAGCAAATACGGTAAAGAGTTCATCATCTCTAGATGCTACATTTGGCTATGCCTCATGCAAATTGGGTAGCTCTGTGAAGTATACCCCTCCGGGTTCAACACATGGGTTGAGTCTAGCTGTCCCAATTAATTTTTTTGGCCATTATTGCCTGTAAATAAGGAAACTTCACTATCATATCTTAAACGATATCTCGTTGTCATTGGAATGGAAAGGCAGTAAAGTGATGCCAGAAATCTTCATTAGCTTGGTTACTACCAAAACTTGTTGCTAAAAGGATGATTAGTAATCACAGAAGGATGCTTTACTGTAAAATAAAGCTTTCCACATATTGTGAGAAGGAGCTAGATTTTTTCTATTTGGATTTCTACCCTTTTATGAACAATACCTTAGCTCAACTTGGCTTCAATCTTCTAAGTAATTTCAAGTATAGCGTGCCTTTGCTTTGTTCCCGTTGTATGATAGCCTTGATGCTGACATGCGAAAAGTACTGCAAATCTCTGCTTTTGCAAGAAAATGGTTAGAAACCACAAGCATCCTAGACCACAGGTTCTTGTGTGTCGTCATGCATCTATGTAGTGGGTGTGTGCAGTACTGATTCTTGGGTTGATGTTGTTAGGCAAGCCATATACATGCTCCAGGAGATTTCATTACAAAATTAAAATGACCCAATTGTGGGAAATATCGATCTGGATTTTGGGAATCAGGCTCAATCTTTCAAGAGCATCATTCTTCAGAGGTCGGTGTTGGGGCACCGTGGCTCTGGACAGCAACTTGTTTTAGGCTGCCCCCTCTTTATGGTCCTGTTGTTTCTGATATCTAGCAAGTAGGGTTCAATGTCGTCTATTCTTCTCATTAGTGAAAATTAATGCTTACTTTTCATGGTATGACATTTTTCAATGGCTTTTATATATAATTTGTAGACTTAAACTGTACACATTCCATAACTTGAAATTTAAAAGAAGACATTTTCACGTCCTTGTACCTTCGATACAGCGTTTGATCCAGTTATTTGTGTAACTTTTTACCAACTTTCACAAACTACCAATTGTGACATTTTTTTCCACAATATTTTTTGATAATTTTATAAACACAAAATATTAAGTATCCACACATAACTCAATGTTATATTCAAACTTGGACATTACAACGGTATTCTAAATTCCCAGAAGACATATAATGGATAAATTCAAATTCCTCGATGCAAATGGTTTCATTTTCGTTGCCGTACGTTTAAGCATTCTTCCTTATAGCTTGTGAAATCCAGTTGTCAACCTCATCCTTTCTTGTAAGAATTCTGTTAGTCACAAGTTTTACTACAAGATCTATACTAATCTAAAGTGAATGCAAGAGTACTCTCATTGTCAAGTTGCATGAGGGCCACGATATATGGTAAAGTGGGGGAGCCTAATCATTGGTTGAAAATTACCAACGACTTTTGATGGAATCTTAATGAGAGAAAGTGATGCGTGAAGATCTAACCTTTCCATCAATATGCAGAATCCTTATCAGTAGTTATCCCGTGTACAAAGCGATATATGGACTCTTCCACCATTGCGGGAAGATTATTCTTTTCCCACTGATCCATTGTTGCTTAATTAGCTGAGACTTGAAGTTCAAAACCAGTTCGTCTGTTAATAATAATTAGATTATTTTATAGTGCTGATAATTAATAACTGGATTAAGGGGTTTGACACTATTGCAAAAGAAGAAACCAGGAATCTGCTACTTTATAGAAGGAGAGGGAGAAAGACTGAAGCATCTATAGGGAGGTCCTAGAATGGCCGCTAGGGCATAAAGAGAGCTTTATAGGGAATATTTGGTCAATATGCTGAAGCATAGGCTTCATCTGAAGGCTCCCCCCCCCCTCCCCCCAAAAAAAAAAGAATAGAATTCTGCAGATAATAAAGAAGAATATTAAAATTAAGGTTGAGGGGAAAAAACAGAAACCAGGAATCTGCTACTTTATAGAAGGAGAGGGAGAAAGACTGAAGCATCTATAGGGAGGTCCTAGAATGGCCGCTAGGGCATAAAGAGAGCTTTATAGGGAATATTTGGTCAATATGCTGAAGCATAGGCTTCATCTGAAGGCTCCCCCCCCCCTCCCCCCCCAAAAAAAAAAGAATAGAATTCTGCAGATAATAAAGAAGAATATTAAAATTAAGGTTGAGGGAAAAAAACTGCACGTCATGCATTGAACAATAAAACGAAATATGTGGAGGCTGTCCATGCCAGAATTCATGGGTTAGAGTTCAGACAAGAGACATAAACCTTAATTTCGTTTTGGCGTAGAGGATATTAATAGGCTTAGGATGAGTTCATGCATCATGTTGTGTGCGAGCCAACAATTTTGTTGAGTCTCCTCATTGTCATTGCCTGTATGGCGTCGCACTCTTCAAATTCACTGTGGCTTCATTTGTTTTGTGGATAATATTTCCCAGATATTTTAACTTTTTTCTTTCTTTCTTTATTTGGCTGCTGATAGCTTGGGATATTCCTTTATATGTTTAAAATGTTATTTGCTAATCCAGTTGGGAAACTTGTATTTCTCATATCAGAAGCATGTGGTTGAACATGGCCTAAATTTAAGGCATTAACAGGTGTATTACTCCTAATATCATTCCCTTTTCCACAGGATTGTGCAAATTGTTAGTTGTGTACTTGAGTAATCATAATCATGTATTGCAGGTAAGTTTGAATTTTAGCTCAAAACCATCCTCTAAGGAACCTGCTCTGCGGAATAATTTCTCATGATAGGCATTATGTCTCAAAGCGACATAAAACAACTCTACGTACTCAACTGACGCAAATATCCTGCGGCCTGTGCTCCTCGTGATGCTCAGGTCAGGTCCTCAAAAGATCTTCATAATCATTCACTCCTACATTATTTTGACTCGACACTACATCTTCATAATCTTACTGCACTCAATGTTACTCTCCAAGTAGCCACGTGGATGAGCTTAATGCATCAGGACAATAGCTCCTATATTGGGATATTTTTAGTAGGAATTTGCCTAAAGAAACTATTATTCACTGTGAAAGGTTCATCGACTATATAGTTCAAGTTGGTCAAATATAAAATCCTCTGAAAGCAAATCTGGAGTAAAATGACTATTTATCAAAACTTTGAAATGAACAAAAAAACACTTTCCAGCTTCTACAGTAATTTTTCAAGAGAGCTATCAGAAAAAGTGTAATCATGACATGCCTTAAGAAAGTTTTACGTGGGAAATATTCGTAGGATGAAAGCATAAAATAACAGGTTCGTGTAATGTCTAAAATAAAAATAGAATTGTTTGTAAAGGGAGGTTTATTTAACTTGAGAAGTCTTGGTAATTTATAGACCCAAAACCACACCTTCCAACCCAATAACCAAATGAAATGTGGCTATGAAATCCTTGAGCATATTAAATTCAATTGCATTTTTAATCTTTGGTTAATCGACCGGCAAGTTTTTATTTATAATTTTTCATGCCACACTCTACAGGTATGGGATTTTACATTTCCTCACCGCATGCCGGCCGGATGGTTGGCCCAAATCAGAACGCCCGCCCATTATTTATTACAAAATACAAAAAAATGTGCCAAGCTTAAAAGAATAGTAAAACAGATAAATGAACAAGGTTGCATAATATTTCGTCAGAAATCATCCGCATTTCTTTAACCAGGAAATCAATCACAGAATCAACGTGTTTAAAGTGGGGCATTCAATAGATGTAAATTGCGAAATCCGCACCCTCTTTTTGGGGCTAGACCAATATCATGAATTATGAAACGAAACCAAACAAAAGTGCACCCAAACCCGATGCACACACAAACTTTGAATTATGCAATTTATCCAAACAAGAAAAACATACAATATGGCTGGTCTGAAGGAGTCAAGCCTTCAGGTAAAAAAAAAAAAAAAGAGTCAAGCCTGCAGAGATAGAACGGTGAACCCATTCAGGACGCAGATGATGGAGCTGCAACCTGCAAGCAGCAAAAACAGAGGAAGATGGGGGGTTTCTGCCAAGTGTCAAGCCAGCAATTTTTTGTTGGCCACGTCTCTGCTCAGTTCCTTGACAACAGCCGCAAGTACCTCCGGGTTGACACCCAGGTCACAAAGAGCCATAAGAACAGAAAGTGTGTGACGGTCCAGACCTGTGTCAAGTATATTCGCCATGTGAAATGCAACGTCCAGAGATTCTCGCGCTGTTCTCGCGTCTTCAGAATCCATAGTAAATACTTGCACCTTAAAATGAGCCCCTTCTGTTCTATTCACCAACTTCTTAAAACGGGCACCGCAGCCTGGGGTTAACACCGTTCATTTACATGGAGACCACTGGATCAGGCAAAGCTACTTTAAAAATAAAATAATAATAATTGAATTCCACGGACAACTGTTCCTGGTTTCATAGCGAGGAGGGAAGGACATTTCGATTATTAATACGACTCTGATAAGCTAAATTCTTTATTTTCTGTTCCCTTTCATCTATCTTTCTCTCCTTACGGACCAGATCAGAAGTGGATAGAGCAAAAATGAACGATAATCCAACTCAGAACAGGGAGATCGCGAAACAACATACCTGCACCGTACAATCTAGCCCAAAAGTTGCTCTGAAACCGCCAAATCCAAACTCCCGCTTTACCCTGAGACAGTTGAACAATTGATCAGTGTAGCACGCTAAAGTTTAACGATTTAGCAACACGATGAAAGCATAGCCCTTGCTTTTGGAATTGACAATAATGAAGCTTTTGGATAGCCGCTAGCCGAAAGGTTGCGGTTATGGCTGCAAATCAAGCCGAAGCTAACGGTTGGCCTAGGGCACGTAACTATAGCAGTCCTGAGTCCTGACGGAGGTTACTCGAAAACGACGACGTGTTTCATCAAATACCTTTTAAACTAGTAGCAAATAGAAATGAATAAGAACCTTTTATATAAAAATGTAAAAAAATTAATTATTTTATTTTAAAATTTTTAAAAGGCGTTACTTCATGCATATTAAAATACATAGAGTAATTTGTTATTTTATTATATATTATTATCACATTTTTTAAACATATTTTTTAAATGAAAATAATGATAACGTTTTGTTAAAAATATTTTTTATTGTACTCAATAGTCACAATAAAATATTTTTTAATTTTATTTCGAAATATATTTTTCATAAAATTCCATTTTTACAATAAATTTTTTTAAAAATGAAAAATACAGATTGGGCACTGACGTCTTTTATAATGTAAAAAGATTCTTCCTCGAAAATAATTTAGAGCTTTTTACGGTATATTATAAAATCAGTAGGCTCAACAAATCGAAAAATGAATTAATTATTATAATTATCAAACATTTCAAAATATTTTTAATTTTTTATCATGGAAAAATTTGTATTTAGGAACTTCCTTGATATTTAAATGCAAGTAAATTTTTAGTAACTCATGTGAGTTAAAAAAAAAAAAAACGAGTTAGCATGCGAAGGAATTCATCTTATCTCGTGAAAATAAATTATGATTCCATGAGTAATAATTTCGGAAGAATGTGATAAAAGCTTCTTAAATTTTGTAATTTAACTAAGCATATAACAATTTCTCATATAATAAAAACAGTTAATATGTAATTTGAATACCGAATTATAAGTTTAAACAGAATTTGAATTTTAAACTCCTATTTAATATATTTTAAATTTTAAACCGTTAAAATTAAAATAATTTTTTCTATATCATTAACATCATTAATATGAGGGTAATGTCTATTACTTTTACTTTTGGCCACAAAAAAATGTCTATTACTTTTAAAATTGTCAGGCCCATCATCACCATCACTCTCCTCCTCTCCTCTTCCACTCTCTTGCTCCCTCTCATGCTCTCTCCCTCCCCCTCGCTTTCTCTCTTAGACATTGGCATTTCAATCGACGGCCAAAAACTGATCCTTATTTGGCTTTGAAGCATCGTCGTCCACTTATGGTTATGCAGAGGAACAACAGTAAGCATAAAGTATGAGTTCGACAAGTTATTTAGATTAATGATAATTTTTGCTTTTAAAATATACTTTTGAATATTTAATAACTAAAAAGACATTAATTTATGATAATTGGTAATTTTTGTTTTACAAATATAATATATTAAAAATGTAATAAATTAAAATACCATAAAATTTAATATGTTAAATAATAAGAATAAAAAATGTATAGTTTAATACTAAAAAAAATTAAAACATTATAGGGGTATCATGTTATTTATAAAAGTAGGTACAACAACTACTCTCATTTGTAATTTTAAATCCACCAAAAAATAGAGTTAGTAAATCTATATTTCAACGCCATCTTAACCCATATTTATACATAATAAGTATGTGTTTGGTTATCTATATATGTGATTTGTCAAAATTATTACCTGCAATTTTTTTTATATAAAAATCAAGGGTAGCATGGTTATATCAAAAATTAATGGATCATATTTGAAAATCACATCCCAAAAGCTAAGGGAAATCAAAGTTGGGCAAATTCACATTCAATAACTTTCTCAAAAAAATTTATAAAACTACTTCATTACACTTTTTTATACTTAAATACTTTTAACTTCAAAAAGTGCCAAAAGTACTTTTTAAAAATTAAAAGTTAGGTTCTCAAATAGACCTAACGTGTATAGGGTCTAACACAAAAATTTACCTGATGCTTTTGGTTTTTATTACCCTTACCTACTTTATACACACCACTTCAAGATATTAAACAAGTTGAACTGAATGTGTCTAAAAAAAAAAACTAAACAACTATCATATAATAGACAAATTCACAGGTAAGGCCAATACTATTGTTGAAAGTTGGGCAAATTCACATTCATTTCTCAAAATAAATTTATAAAACTACTTTCATTACACGTTTTATAATACTAAAAATACTTTTAACTTTCAAAAAGTGCCAAAAGTACTTTTTAAAAATTAAAAGTTAGGTTCTCAAATAGACCTAACGTGTATAGGGTCTAACACAAAATATTTACCTGATGCTTTTGGTTTTTATTACCCTTACCTACTTTATACACACCACTTCAAGATATTAAAACAAGTTGAACTGAATGTGTCTAAAAAAAAAAACTCATATAATAGACAAATTCACAGGTAAGGCCAATACTATTGTTGACAGTGACAACAAATATGTTGTGAGGATGGATGAAAGGCATTCCATAGAATGCCTAAAACATGCGGTTCAAGATAAGAGAGAGCGGGAAAGAACAAAGTAACCTAGAAGCTTCAAATTTATTGCAGAGAAAATAGAGACGATGCCACTAAAATAGAGCACTACTGCCATCGTCTCTCACCTTCTCTTCTTCGATCTCTTACTCACGTCCTGCATAATTAAGAAGATGAAGCCTCTCTTGCTCTCTCTCTTACTCCTAGTAAGCCATGGCACCCAAGTTATGGGTAAGAAGATGGGGGCTAGTCTCACTACATAGACCATGCTTTTAAGCTTTCAAATTAAAAGTTCTATTCCTTTCATGCATGGGCCATCTTCTCGTGGCTTTCAACATCCTAAATGAGAGCTTAAGACCTCGATGGCGGTAGGCAAGGACAACGGTATGCTTAAGAGGGAGAGATCAAGAGAGCAGGAGTGAGAGTGAGGCAGAGGGAGAGAGTAGAGAAGGGGGATCGAGAGAGTAGAGAAGGGGAGAAGGGGAGAGACAATGATAAGGTGCCTACAATTTTAAAATTAACAAACGTTATTATCTTATTAACAGTTGGAGAAATTTTTCTAAGTTTAATATTTTAAAATTTAACATGTATCAAATACGAATTTAAAATTTAAACTGTCCCTTAACCTATAATTCATGATTAAATTACATACTAATCCTAATAAAAAAAGCAAATAGAGTAGTTGGATGCTCTTTTTAATCTTATTTACTAGTCACTTGTGGTTTATTTCATCATAATTAAGAAAAATTTCAAAACTCATTACCTCGCTTAAAAAATTTACTAAATTGTTAATTTTATTTTTAATAGCATACTTTTTCTTAACAATATTTTAATATGGGTGAAAGGAATTACAATAAAATTTATGACATGCTTTATAAATATAAATATGATATGATAAAAAAAATTCACCTTTTACCTTAGAGAACACCACTTCATCTCTTACTAATATTAGTATATTTTAGTAGTAGGCTAAGGAAGCTTGAGGCAAATAAAAGATAAATAAAGCCAGAGGAATTACTGGGCATAAGAGGGATGTTAGGTAATAACTCTAAGTTTCACGTACGCACATTTATATACCTATTTGCACATCGAATAGCTTCACAAGGTGAATATAAGAGTTGAATGTCATGGCCATAGTATCTTAAATATTTAATAGCAAATATAGTGTCCTTCGGTGGGTGATCCTAACCAGTTTCACATATCAAAAGATTGATAGCATCAAGAGAGTTAGAGTGAAGTTGTACTCTAGTCAAAATTATCTAGGCACAAACCTCCAATCCTATTTTGATAGCAAATAGTTCTGCTATAGTAAAAGGTAGATGTTCTAAATTTTTCCTAAAACCCATTATCCAATTGCTATTCCCATTCTTGATGACACCTCTACATGTTGCACAATTATGTTCCCAAACATATCTATCGACATCAATTCTAATAATATCTAGAGGAGGTAGGTATCATTGAGAATTTGGCTAGACCTCACGAGGAAAAAACTTTATGATTCCACTTCATACTAGTAGCATCTTCAAAAAGAAGGAAGAGGCAGTTATGCTTAAAGTTAGAGGAGGACTAAACCTTGTTGTCAAAAACTCGCTTGCATCTCTGGTTCCATAAGAGCTAATAGATAAGACTAAAAACTACGGTCCATTGCCATCTTGTCCATCTATCTCTCCTTAACTGGTATGATGCATTCTAATGGAGCTGGGCTTGTAAATCACTAGAGAAAAACAAATAATAAGCGTTAGTGTTGATAATAGATTTCCACACATCTCTAGCTATTATGAAATCTCTCATAATATGTATAATTCTCTCTTTATAGCCATACTTAAAAGGGAAATTTAGATTATCAGATAAACCTCTCTTGGCTCTGAGTAATTTAGTAACAATTCTCCCATGGTTAAATTGCCACGTTAATAATTTCACTTTCCTAGGGATTTTCTAACTCCAAACCTTCTTCCAGTTAGGGTCAACTTGATATTAGCCATTTAAGTGATAAAGTTATAAGTAACTTTAATTGAAAACAAACCCTCCAGCACTAAATGTCTTCCCTTTGACTTGCAGGAGTGTTACATTACTGTAGTGAGGTGGTAGCTCATAAAGGAAGGAATCTTTCACATTCTCTTATGTTCCAGTAGCCATTCCCCATTACAAAGTCACTAACTTTGTCATTTTGATGAATCTTATCCAAATTATTTCCTGTGAGAGAAATAAGGGGCTGATCAAAGTAGTTCCATTTGTCTCACCAAAACATAATAGTCAACCTATTATTGACCTTACTTATGGGCTCTTGTAGGTAGCATAAGCCTAACTAAAGGAACCTTCTTTAACCTTCTTATTGCATTCAAGAAAACCAATAATGATGTATACTTTTTCCTATTCAAAATATAAGTATTTGTTTCATTAATTTTAGTTTAAAATATAAACAACACAATACGTATAAAATTTTGTTCATTTTACCTTTGTATTTATTAATCTAAATTTTTGTATAAATTTATCTTTTACTTATTATAAAATGGAAATTGAGATTAAGGATAAAAAATAATATAATTTTTATAAGAATGAAGACTTTATTAATATGTAAAAATTTTTAAAAAATATTTATATTTTGAAAAAGAGAGAGTACAACTAAAACCATGCAAAGTAAGTACTCCAGTCCTGTATATTAGTCAC